TTCAGTCTTTTGTTTATGCCGAGTGTTTAGGTTGATCAGGTCTCACCATGAGTTGGTGCGCCCTGGTTATACACCTTATGTCATTTGTTCAGACAAAGGCTTATCACAACATAAGTTGTTGTGGTAAGTTCTAGGTCTTATGWCCATAAAGTTGAACATGGTTGTATTGCGAAGGGTTGGGCGAACGCATAAGTTGCGGGCTGTTCGGTCGTTCGCGCAAGTGGCTTTGTCTAGGCTGGGTTGGACTATCCATAAGTTGGGTAGCCTGGCTCTACGCAGTATGTAACTGTTTGGGCTGACCGGGCACAACATAAGTTGTTGTGTCCAGTCATATGCCCTTTGTCGTTGGTTAGGCAGAGGGTGACCCCCATAAGTTGGGAGGTTCAGTTTTATGTGTATGCCGAATGTTCAGGCTGACCAGCCTCACCATGAGTTGGTGCGGCCCGATCACACGCCTTATGTTGGTTGTTTTGTAGAAACTGGTCACACCATAAGTTGGTGTGGTTTGGTCTTATGCGTACGTATATTTGTGTTACCAGGCTAGGGCACCATAAGTTGGTGTGGCCTAGTCATATAAACTGGCAGGTCAGTCACATCCATAAGTTGGGTTGGCTGACCCTATGTCTTATGTAAGGAAGGGTAAAAAGGGAATAATGAGGGTTTTTGAACGAACTATGTGGCCTGTAAAAGAACCATGTGGGATTGTGAGAGGTGTTTGCGCTTGCATGCTCGTGGGCTCTCACTTGGAAGCTTGGGATGAGATAGGACTGACTCTGCTGGGGGTTGGGATAAGCGTTGGCTCGTGGCCTCATTAAGAGGGCATGTGGACCAATATTTAGCCTAAGTGGTTAAGCAGGGATCATGAGTTAGCCCCAAGTATAGTTTTGCTTTGCACTTTGACTTTCAGCTTTGTATAAATCTTGGCAGCCTACTTTTCCTACGGTAAGCGCTGCCGAAATTTATGCAAAACTGAAAAGAGTTAATCATATTCAGGTTCCTCGAAATTCTGAAAAGGCACTTTTCCTACGGGAAGCGCTGCCGAAATTTTGGAAAATTTAGAGAGTTGGAATATTTTCAGTTAGACTGATCTTAGCAACTCAACCCTGAGTAGGGGAGGTGTTATTGAACCTCTCAGAAGTTGAGTAGGAGCTTAGCAGAGGAGTTAGGATGTGACTTAGGAGGATTACTCCCTACTTAGGCTAAACGTTGTAGTGAAATTTTTTTGACATGTGCTGTGGTGCAGGCCGTGCGCATTGATTGAAGGTCTGACTTGGTCAGCCTGACTATTCTTCTGTTATCACTGATAACAGGTCGGTTGCCGATTCGTCGGTGCACGACTCAACCTCTCATCCTCTTCTGCCTCTCAACCTAATGCCTTGGCCCTGACTGGTTTTATGTTTTTTTGGGTTTTCACCCAGATTCTTTGTAAATGGCCATTTTATTAAAAGACTAAGTATCTTTGTTTGGAATGGTGRGGAAAAGGTTGGGCTTGTGTGCATAAGGCAGGGTGTGAGTTGCAGAAGGCTGAAAAGTTGATGCTTTTAGTGGGTGTTCTGTTGTTTGATCCTTGTGTGTGTTCACAGGTATGTGTRAAACATGTTGAATGATTGTGGTATTCTGGCTGTATTGAGTTCAGGCGGGCAAGCCACATAACTATTGTGAGACTGTATYATCACTTAACTCTTCGTCTGACTRAGTGTTATGRCATTTGAGTATGTCCCTCGCGTAGCCCTCACACGGYTGCACGAGCACATACTTATGCCTTCTATATTCTTGTGTGATTTCAATTGGTGGGACGATAAGGGTCCAGCCGTGAGCCAAAATATCACGAAAACGACGTGTAAAAAAGGTCATAAGGTCGGTCCGCCCTATGGGAACCCCGTGCTAGAGCGAGGAAAATGTTCCGAGCGTTGGGCTGCTTACAGGGCTTGACCTGAACACTATCCACACGCCACCCATAAACGATTCGTATAGGTGGTGCGCGGTGAGTCATGGGCCAAGGCGAAATAGGGAAAAGGCATAACCTTTCTCCCCATTTTGGCTTTGGCCCCAGTTACTTGTTAAGATGAAAAGTCGGACGTATTCTTGGGCCAGGGGTTCGAGGTCCTTGTCGGGAAGAACCCTAAGTCCAACCCTCTAGCAAGGGATTTTTGCCTGCACACAGGGCATAAAAACCCTGCCCACCGGACCGCCTAGCTTCAAGGGTAGGGGTGCCGCAAGGGCTGAACGGCGTGTCCTTTAAGCCGTTCAATATTGCAAGGGGCGAAACCCCACAATATATTCCTTCAGCCATTCAGTATCGCGAGGATATTTCAGCGACCGCTTGAGTGAGACAACATTGCTGGTCGGTATGGGAAGGCCGAGGACCCGTACGGATTATATCGAATCCGGCACGCGGTGCCAAGCGGATTCTCAYACCGAAYAGTTTATGGATCTGGCACTGAACGWAGAATCGCGATACGGTCGGCGTTGMGGAGATGCGCGGAAGGGCCTCGCGCCCGAGCATACGACGCATTGAGYGTCGGCTCGCTCAAGGGCTTGAGTCAAACCTTAGGAACACGCASCTCCGTAGCAAYTCACCACATCGCATCGAGAAAGCTATCGGGGAGGCATAGGGGCTCAATATGGGTTAGACTAGGTCGACGCCTTTATAACGAGCCTTGTCCTCTTTTTATTTTCTTATGGTTGGACGTTGCAGTCCGTGGCAGCCGTCAAAGTCAAACCCCTTGACTTCTGCCACCACAGGCRTGAAACCTGTGTACCAYCCACTCTGCACAGGGTGCARAAGAGGGTGTGTGGTCCTCAACCGCGCATGGCGGTTGTCTAGCGCAGAGAGATTAACCCTTGAAGCGCTTGTCAGCCGACACTTGAGTGTCGAAAGGGACCCTCAAAATCCTTGAGGGCCTCCTGGACCTGGGTACCACATAGAACCCCATTATTGCAAACACTTATAAGCGCACGCATGACTGACTGGTATGAGAAATCCGTGCGATCACGCGATTCTTTATACTAAATCAGCATGCGACGCCTACCTAATCTTTGTACCAAAAGGTTATGGGTCCAGTACTAAAGGGACTGGGAGTGTTCTGTTTTTCTTTTGCTTTGGTGCATGAGTGTGTGAACGTGGGTTACTTAAATTTTGCTTTAAGTGGTGTATCGCGTGGTGTGCRTAGAGCGTCCTAGTCGACCGACGTCAAGTCGAGCTTCGGACCTCAGCCCCCCAGTGTCGTCGATTTGCGTACGGGTCCGATTTCGGGCSTTGACCGCGCGTACTCTATGCTACAGCGAACGAGAAACGCCCTCGGCTGGGCCACCTCTGCAATTGCATTATAAAAGCCTTCGCATGTGGTTCAGTAGCTCGACAGGGATACGCCCACCTAAGGGATGGTGACAGCTCCCGCAGGTGGAGGTAGCGGTGCCTTGCGTGACTCTGTCCTGTCGTAGGGACTCGCGAGAGGTACGGCTGGCGCACTCGGCCGGAGCGGCAAACGCTCTCGCAATAAGTCCTGCATAATCCTGCGTGACGCGGCCGGGAGGGTCCCCGTGCGGGACCGATGTGCGCGACAGGTGGCGCCGTTGTCGGGGAATCTCGGCTGCCTACCGGGGTCCTTAAGAGAATGAACTCAGGTTAAGTGCAGGCTGATGATCCAGGCAAAACGACAACCTTTGATGAAAAGATTTTTCTCCTTGACGATGATTCGAGTATGGTGGCTTTCTAAATGATACGTCAAATTTGTCTGCCTTGATTGTGAGTAAGGTCGGAAGTGTGCATTGTGTGTATCCGTTTCAGCGGTAGGGTCAGAGTAATAATATAGACCTGATAGGTTACTTTAGTTAATAAAGATAGTAGTTGAATGGTGAAAGTAGGCAAGTTAGAGACTTGACGGTCGATTGTTTTGTTAAAACCTTTCATCCCTCAACAGGTGTTTGAGAAAACGTAAAGATGGCGGACGCCAACGGAATCGAGCGGGGTCCGGGTGCTACACCTGAGGACTTCGTCAAGGCATTGGAAAAAAGAGAGATGGCACGACTTCAGGTGCCCAAGGTTAACATTTTTCACTTCAACGGGGATAGAGTGTCCGAGTGGCTTGAGTTGCTGGAGCAGGTCATTAGCGAGGCGTTAGAAGCAGACAAATTCAAGCTGATGCCTAGGTATGTATGGCGGGAGCTTAGACCTGAGGTAGTGAAGGTAGCGGCCGACGCAAATGGTGAGTGGGCAAAGTTTAAAGAGGAGATGCAGAGACGTTTCAAGTTAGGTGACGGCTTGCTCACCAAAGAAGACCTGGAAATGTTGAGACGTGATGAGTTCTCCACAGTGGGGGCCTTCGCCACGACGTTTGAGAAAATGGCAAAGAAAGTCCCAGGGTTGGCAGAAGAGGAGCAGTGTGTCACTTTCCTAGAGCACTTCAAGAACTGGGAGGGCTCGTCGCTAACTAAGAAGGCTGCGCCAGGAAAGAAGCTCGCTTGGGCTGCCATAAAGGAAGGCGTAATGGACGAAGAACTGGACCAGGTAGACATCTTCCAGATGAGGCAGGCTAGGAAGAAAAGGAAGGCCTTAGACGCTACGACGAGTGATGGGTGCGACTTCAAGAAAATGGTGGAGGATGCGGTGGCCCAACTCCATGCAGCGAAGGACGCAAGAAGAAAAACCATGGCAGCACCACAGACCATAGGGATAGCGAAAAAGGCAGTAGTGCAGGAAGAAGAAGAAGAGGAAGAAAAAAAGGAGCCTGAGCCGCAGAAGCTGACAAAGGCTCAAAGAAAAGCAAGGAATTCGGCTCAAGGAGGGCAAGGCTCAGGGAGGGGCCAGGTCCCACAAGCTGTAGCCATGCCGCCCCCTGAGTCACCTAGTCAGGCCGCACCAACACACTATGGGCCGTGGCCAGGTTATGGACCTTCAAGCCACTGGCATGGACATTGCTCATACGCCCCATGGCCACAGAGTGGGCCGCATGGGTCGTGTGCCGGACCACCGACGAGCATGGCTTCCTGCGGCTGCCCGGGGCCCCAAGCTCAGCAAGTAAGTCACCCAGACCCACCGCCAACCCAACCCCAGCAGTCAGCCCCACAAGGGTCGCAAGGCAATCAAGGCGGT